AATCATTGTGACATGGAATTGTTTGTATTGTTGATACACCTATACCTTTACCTTTAACACCTTTACCTTTTTTTTATAAATACCTTTCAATACATTTTTAATTCTACCTTCTGCATAATCGCATTTTATTTGAATTAAACAAACAGCTTTAGTATGCTCGTAGAAAAAATATAGTTCCTAACTCTTGCGGGAAGAAATTTCCGGTACTCGGGCGCTTCGCACCCTCGTGCCGGAAATTTCTCTTCCCGCACTCGTTAGGAGAATAGCTATTTTCTACGAGCGTGCGGGAAATGGCTCTTCCCGCACGATTTGCTGTGCGGGAAGTTTTTTTCCCGCCCCAGTGCACAATAATCATTGTGATATGGAATTGTTTGTATTGTTGATGCACCTAATACCTTTACCTTTAATATACCTTCACCTTTTTTTTATAAATACCTTTCAATACATTTTTAATTCTACCTTCTGCACAATCGCATTTTATTTAAATTAACCTTCTCGTAACATCAGCTTTAGTATGCTCGTAGAAAAAATATAGTTCCTAACTCTTGCGGGAAGAAATTCTCGGAAATTTCTCTTCCAGCACTCGTTAGGAAAATAGCTATTATATATTTGAAAAATATCATCGTGCACAGAAGTCCTACCCTCTGAATTTTTTCAAAAAAAGTATGACAAATTACCGAGCAAATTACATACTGAAATCTATAAAACCTATTTTTAGGCGACTGTCACAAAAAGATTAGTTTTACGGATTCAATATCATCCCTAAAGTATATCTTTTTTGGCCGCATTTACTTTACGGCCGCATTTACTTCACGGCCGCATTTGCTTTATTACTTTACGGCCGCTTTTACTTCACGGCCGCTTTTACTTTACGGCCGCTTTTACTTTACGGCCGCTATATACTTTCGTGAAAATATATAAACAGACAATCGGAAACGCGGTCCGTAACTATATTCACAACCAATAAATAGTTAGCAACCACAATGGAACCAAATTTTTGATTTTAGCCCTATCCTATTACTTTTTCAAAAAAGCACAATATAGGATACCATGCGAAAAAGTGGGCAATTTTCTATAATCACACTTCCTTTATTGTAGTTTTTGTTACTAATAATTATGTATCTACCTATCTTTGCTGGATTATTTATCTAATCAATGAAAAGTTAAAGCTCCTGTTGAATTTTCGTCTTTTTTTCAAGAAAAAACACTCGCCTAAAAAATTTTGTGTGCACCTCGGCCGAATGATCTTTTTTGGCCGAATCAGAAATTTGCGGCCGAGGCGTAGCCGAGGCCAAGCAAATTTCAGGTGAGGCCTTGGTACACAAATAACTATTTCGAGCCTATTTTGCAATAATTTTTGTGGCTTATTTTACCATTAAAACTGATTCATTTTTCTTATCTCTCTCAAAACAAAACCAGGTAGCAATTAAATGCAAGTGCCAATAATAATTATTACGGACTGCTTCCCAGAAAAGCTTATCTGTGATTTTTATGGAGTCATTATTTTGTTTATATGGAAATTTCCGTACACCTTGTTTATCACATTATGACAAGTTTATGCGTTTTGGCTTTCACGACTTTTCAATTTAACTCTCATATATTTAAATAAGCAGCAGGAAGGTAGAAAGAACACCATGGAAACAGAGTGTCCATTAGGTCAACTGCTGTCATGACTCTTGGTGTTTTTGTGAAAAAAAGGCATACACTTTGACATATTATTTGTGGTAGACCAGACGGGGAAACGACATTCGAACTTAATTTATATTGACTTAGCTCCCAACCTCATATTTGATTCCAAATAGAATATTATTTTTCTTTCAATTTTGAATCTATGATAGACCTCTCTGCACTGCGACCAGAGAAAAAAGCGAGGAAAAAAGAGAAATTTCTGGAGCTTTTTTATTTTGGCCTGGTATTGTCAGTCTAGTTGGGGATCCATCATTTAGTGAAACTAGAGAAGTTTCATTTAGAATATTATTTATGACGTTTTTATTGAAGTTTGCCACTGAACTTCCCCGTAGGGGATGTTGGCCTTTGAAATGCCCTAGTATTAATTTTGGTTCAAATCGAGATTCAAATATATTATCAATAAAATCCTTGAACCAGTTGTCTTTGATTTTTGTTGATGGTGGGACATAGAAATTGAGGATTGAAAGGTTTGGTTGGTGACGCAATGTATTCTTTAATCACGGATGTTACTGAATTTGAATGAAAGCAAAAACACAATACTTAGCTGTTTTTCTTGACCTTGCAAAGGCTTTTGATACGGTGCCATACCTGAAGCTTTTGGAAGTGCTGTCCCAGTGTGGAGTCCAAGGCAAGGTATTGAAACTATTTGAAAGTTATTTATGTGACAGAGACTAATATCTGAAGTTGAATAACACACTCAGCCAAGCCTTAAAAATTAAAATAGGGATACCACAAGGCACAATTTTGGGACCAATACTATTCATAACTTATATAAATTCGTTACTTAAATTGAATATAAATTGCAAAATAATATCTTACGCAGACGATACAGTTGTAGTTTTTTCGGGTGTTACGTGGGAAGAAACAAGAGAAAAGGTGATCGGAGGTTTGAGGATTGTAAAACTGTGGCTTGAATCTTTCAGATTGTCCCTGAATTTATCTAAAACTAATTATATAGCATTTTCAATAACTAACGCAAACAGACCAAATTTTGAAACTATTGAGATGGGCGTTGAGGGTAAGACGCCGTTCAGTCAGTCTCAAAGACAAAGTATCTAGGGATAGTCGTTGATCAACACTTAAAGTGGACAGAACACATAGATTATCTAACAAAGAAAATTCGTTGTCTAATTCCATAATTTTATGTACTGAGAGAATTTCTGTGTTCCAAACTAACTACAATGGTTTACAAGTCACTTGTTGAATCTTTGATTCGATATGGTCTGGTGATATGGGGTGGCACATACAGGAGCAACTTGCAACCTTTAAAAATTATTCAAAACTACATTTTAAAAGTAACATTCAAAAGGAAAAAATTATATCCGACTAGATTATTGTATAGCGTGGATATTTGCATTATAGAATGCTTATTTATTCATTGTGTTTGTGCATACATTCACAAAAATAAAACACTGAAAAGAACTATAGACCACCCTCATCACACTAGAGCCAATATGGACAATCATTTGACCATCCCAATTAACAGGAAGACTGTAAATCTTAAATTTGTAGATTATCTTGGCCCAAAATTTTATAATCAACTACCTAATAATATAAAGGCTATTATTGGGATTAAGTCATTCAACAGCGAGAGCAAAACTTTTATTGTTAATAATTCTAAAATATTTTCTAGAATAATGATATGAGACACACATAAAACAACACTTTGTTTACTGACCGCATTATTCGTATTTATATTATTTAAATTTATATTTGTAAAAAAGGAATGTATTTTTACGAGGATTAAACTATTTTGAGCATGTTGCAACTTAAGGGAAACATACAGATGTGCAAACATCTAGGTGACCCATTAACTTTTCCTAAATACCTATTAAGTATTGTTATTGAATGTAATTAGTGAATGAATCCTGTAAAAGTTTTATATGCAAATAAATAAAAAAAATAAAAAATACTCCTTATATTCTATAGGATCCTTTATCAAACATGCAATACCCCCCTTTAAGGGGGGTATTGCATTACCATCTTGTGTATCTTGTCTACAAATTTTGTTTCATCCAATCCTTAAATTGGAATCTTTTTTCAGCCATGTTTCATTCAAAGTTATAATTTCAGCTTTTTGTTATTGTATTAACATTTTCAAGTTGTCTATGTTCGAATTGATTGATCTTATATTCCATTGTAGAATTTTCATTACTCTATCTGGTGTGTTATTCATGGGGTTTTTGATTTGTTATGTTTTTCTGGTTTTCGCTCGGCTGTCGCCTTGGATCACAAACTTGAGCCCGGCCGTTATTTGCTGCTTATCGGCCTTATAACGCTAATAATTATTTCTTACCTATTCTCTCTATAGTAGGTATTTATTAATTTAACATAATATGGGATAACACTTACACAGGATTGATTAGTATTTTCACGGTAAATGAAAAATTTCAATATTCGCACGTGTAGTCTAGGAAAATTGTCGAAAAATACATGGATTGCGAAAAAAAAAAAATCCTACCCAAATGAACTATTCAGGGATAATAGGGGGTGGGTGGGTGATCATAAAACCGAAGATATCATACATGTACCCCTCTGGTGTTTTGCGCTATAGGGGTTGAAAAATCGCCATTGGCGATTACCTATTGATTTTACAAAAAAAAATGTTGCAAATAAAAGATGTATAACTTTATTTGATCTACAATGTTTATCTAAAGACTGTCTGTGGTCATAAGGGCCGTTTGAAATTTATAATGAAAATAAAAAAATTTAACCTAAGGGAAGTGTCCCCCCGCTGAATGGGGGTGAGTTACAAAAAAAGTTGATAAGGAAAAATTGTAGGAAATGTAATCTTATAAAACTTTTATCAGGAAAATTTTTTTGTAAAAAAATAAAAAAAACTTTATTGAAAAACGGCAGGGGGTGAGTAAAAACTTCATAAAGCAAAAACCTTTGATGTGTTGTGGAAATTTTTTTCACGTTGGTTAAATTTGTTTGAATTCATTATAAATTTTGAACGGCCCTTATGACCACAGATGGCCCCTAATCAAAAAAGTCTTTTGATAAACATTGTAGATCAAATAATGTTGCAGATCTTTTATTTGAAACATTTTTTTTGTAAACTCAATAGGTACCAAGTAATCGCCAATGGCGCACTTTCAACCCCTATAGCACAAAACGTCAGAGGGAAGCATGTGTGATGTCTTCGGTTTTATGATCACCCACCAACCCCCTATCATCCCTGAAAAGTTCATTTTGGTAGGAACTTTTTTTAAAAAATCAACAATTTTCCTAGACTACGTGTGATTTAAACAAGAGCTCGTACGAATCTCTAAAAACTGCTTTATTTAAATTTTTTTGTTTGTTTTCAGATAGACAAGAAGATTGTTCTGGGTAAGTTTTTTAACAATATATAAATAGTTATCTTTCAAATATGGCGAATGCGCTGGATATATTATACGCGAATTAACATTCATAAGTGAGATTATTTGGTACTCTTCAAAGTGATCATGCCAGGTGAGGTAAGTAAGTTCTTAACTGAAATGCTATTTTATGGTAAGTACGTTACTTTATTATTAAAATGCGAGTTAGAATGTAATTTAGACAATCAAAATTTCAAATTTTGGCATAAAGCCCTGAATTCCAACCCTGGACTAGGACAATCTCATTTAACAATAAAAATCTCACTCTCTCCAGTTAAACAGAAGCCAATGTGCCAAAAATCAATACTGCAGGCCATCATTGTAGGTACTCTATCGACCTGCCTGGAAAATTTGTAAATGTCGAGCAAAAAAAGGGGACAAACTTGGGAGAGGCCTGACGAAGGATTGGTTGGTGGGGGATCCAGGTGGATATAGTTGGGGAAATCCGACATGAAATATAGAACGAGTAAACATTGCGCCCTCAATTCATAAATTGAGGGTTTGGCATAAGAACTAGTATAACATAACACATTTCATTTTTGCTGGTAAAAGTAAAATTCTGATAGTACATAAACCATTTTTATAGCAAAACACATAAAAGATCAAGGCGAAAATCGGGTAACAAGAGAAAGTTTTAACGATTTTCATCCAGACGCTAGAACGTTATAGTTTAGTGCTTTTAGGAATATCGGATTACCCTAGGGTCCAACTTTTATCCTTGTCCTGATAAAAACGCTTTTTTAGGGGCGTATAATATATTTCGTTATTGTTGGAAATAATTTCTTGTAGCTTGTAAGTAGCGCTGGAAAAGTTTATGATAATTTCGGTTCCTGTTTGTTGGATTTAAGAAAACTGAAACGCAACAATTAACCAGAATGTCTAAAAAGACTGATATTTAATATAAAATCAACATTCTCCAACAAATTTTGAAGAAGTTTTCATTATTTAAACTGAATTCTCAGTTCTTCACTGATTTATAGATTTTCTCCTAATCGGTTCCTCTATGGATGGCTAAACCTATAGGCTTTAAAACAGAAGTAGATTCAAAACAATCCACAATCCATAAAAAGAGCAGTTTTTAAGTAGACGTGGAACTGTAGAACACTGGGCATTAATAAGTAAATGCATTTGATCTACTATCCAGAAAACACAGGAAACGTGAACCCTACAGATACAACCGACCATACAGCAAGTGTAAAGTCAATCTGAAAAAAAAGCGGAGGCATTATGTTACCTATTTTATTTCTCCAAAACTTTTTACCTTTATATTCAGGGATATAGCTATTTGAGGGTCTCAATTGGAAGAACAAAGGATTAAAGATCCAAGTATAAAACTTCAACAACTTGATATTATTTATTTATTTATTTATTGATACTCATACAAACACCTTAATGACAATTACAAGTAAGAGAAATGGATACTTACAAACTAGACAGTACACCAATAAAAACAACATACAAGATGGCACTGTTAGGTACTACTTAACTTTTGGATTATTTCCTGTCGGGTATTTATAAAATAATCTAGAATAACATCTTGGGAAAACAGTTCATTACATTCAACCAACATAAAATTGAAGGGAGAACAAAAATTATCTCTTTTAACCCTTAAGTTAATTTTAGGTACATGTATAGGAATATAGTTAATCAAGGAACATTTATTGTACCTACTTTATATCATTGATAACATAATGGATAAACGGCACACACTGTATCTGCCTTCTTTTTTTCCAATGTCTGGAACTTGAAGTCATCCAACATGCTTCTATATGAGACTAGATACGGATATACATATAATATTTTTACCTTAGAAATCTTTTTTGAACGCGTTTAATTGCATCACAGTGTGTTTTTGCCTGCAGAGACCATACAACAGAAGCATAGGTATTCTAAGTGTGAACGAACATGAGAATTATAAAGCTTAATTACGACACCCACATCATTAATCGCCTTGTGATACACATAATGAATCCAAGAGATCTATATGTTTGATTAATAACGTACCTACTCATAATGTTGATTAAATTTTAAACTGGTCTTAAAGCACACCCCAAGATCCATGCACTCAGTCTTTTTTTGAAGTTCATTATCATTGAATATGAAAACAATATAGGATTAGTTTTGTTTGTGAATGACATAGCAAAACTTTTTTTAGAGTTAACGATCATTTTATTTCTTCTGAACTAATCAGAAACTGAGTTCAGATCATCCTGAAGTGCAACACAATCGTTATCGTTTGTAACATACTTAAAAATCTTGAAATCATCTGCAGATAACAGACATTCTGATTCTTTAACAACGTTTACAATATCGTTAATAAATATTAAAAACAACAATGGGACCCTGTGGAACTCCAGATGTTGCTGGAAAAGCTTGTGAAAGGAAAGTGCCAACTCGAACTTTTTGCATTCGCTATTTTAGGTAGCTTTTCATGAAATGGTATGCATCTTTAAAGAAATTAAACTCAACAAGCTTACTCAGCAACCTGATGATCCACTGTCAAAGACCTTTGCAGAATCTATGTAAATAGTGTCCAGGTGCTTTTTGCTATCAATTGCTTCAAAAGCATTACATGTAAATACAAAAAGGTTGGTCCCTGGGTTGGTCACAGTTGATTTACCACAAAGGAAACCATGCTGCTGTGCCACTATACTATTTTGTACATTAATCATAATAGTCCAAGAGCCCAGAGCCGCCAGACACAACTTATTTTCTAAAGGACAGAATATGTGGGATTGAGTAGCACTTATAGGTACTATGAACGTATGTATACTCGCTAAGTTGAGTAGACGGCCAGTTGACTGTTATTTGTAAATAACGGTTTTTCCTATTATGGGAAAAACCAAATCCCATTTCTACTCTAGCCTGGAGTAGACTGTAAGTTTAAGAGGGGGAAATAGATATCTGGCTCACTCTCAAACGCATGCATATTACCCTCGCGCTCACACTCACGGAAAAACTATTATTGCGTCTGGGGGGATGTTTTGCCGGTGCGATGGGTCTGGCTGAGCTAACGTTGTTATGAAATAGTCTCCCCAATAACATGTATAAAAATCAAGCGTTAGAAAAAAAGTTAAAGTACTTTTTAAGATTTCGCACCTGGTGTCGGTAAATTGGCCGTCTACCCAACTTAGCGGGTATACATACGTTCATAGTACATATAAGTGCTACACAATCCCACATATTCTGTCCTTTAGAAAATAAGTTGTGTCTGGCGGCTCTGGGCTCTTGGACTATAATATTATCACAGAGAATAATTTCAAATATTTTAGCAATCGAGTTTATTTTGGAGGAAAGTATTAAAAATATGAGTCAATGGGGCTGCTAGGATATCAGAGCATCCCTTATAAATATAAGGGGCAATACTATCTGCACCTGTAGATTTTTTGGGTTTTAATTTTTTTATGGCATCTTTGACTGTATTCTCAGATATGGATGAGAATGAAAAGTTACCCTATTGGAAATGATTTTCCATATCAAAATAAGAACAAGTGGGTGATTGAGATCCATAAACTGATGCAAAGTAATGTGCAAAGGCTTCTGAAATTTGATCTGGCTCCTCTATAGTCGAACCATTATAAGTAAAACATCCTGGTATACCGGGTTTCCTAGATCTAGAATTTACAAACTTCCAAAAGCTGTTAAGATCCAATCTTATATTGTCCTCTATATTTTTTTATACTCAGAAAACTCTCTATCGATTTGCTTTTTAATAATGGCTCTAACTTTCCTGATGTGCTCATCAAAAAGATATAAACTAGCCTTTCCACGCTTTATTCGATTATGTAACCTATTTTTATCTCGATTTTTATGCTTAATGTTTCCCATCAAATCGATTGAAAACCATTGTGGATATTCACAATGTTTACTATGTTTAGAAACTGATTTTTTTTGGAACTGTAGGTATTATCCAAGCAACTATAGGTCATAATATGACAACATATTATAGGTCTAGACATATGTTCGGATCAGAATTTGTAAAAAGATCATGCCAATTAATTCCTTTAATAGCACGATACAGACTCAAAAAGTTACCATTTGCATAATCATACTTATAAGGTGATATAGTATTAATTTGAAAGGTAGTTCACGTCCACACACTTGTAAAGAAACGAAATTGCAGCTTTTTTGGACTTTTATATTGTACTAATCAAATGCCAACGTTTCGACACGAATGCGTGTCATCCTCAGGGCTAAAATGTATAAACAAACCAGTTAACATAACTACATTTGCAACAAATTCATTACATTACAGATATCCAAAGAATGTATTATAAATGTCAGCATGTTGATTTGGCGGGATACAGACAAAACACAAATAAAGGATAACTTTTTTAAACCTAAGCTTTAGCAAAATGTACTCTATATCACAGTCAGTCTTAATTATCTCAAATCTCACTCTTTTCTTCAAAGCAATCATAACTCCTCCACCTCTAGTGAGATTATTCATCCTATTCCCACGTATCACATTATACCTGTGGTTTACCAATTCAGCATCCTGAAAACTTTGATTCAACCAAGTTTCAGTTAATAGATATAGTCATAGTCTTCACACAAGACATTATTATACAGCTCTTCAGTTTTAGTCCTGAGTCCCCTTACATTCTGGTAATAAATATTAATTTCACATCCATGCCCTGTTATTGTTGTGTCTGGGATTGAGGATCGGCCTGGCGTTCTGCTATTGGCTGAGTGCTCCTTTTGACAAAAAACTTTGAAACAATTGACCCAACAGGCCAAACATTTCTATTCCAAGCATCTTTGAAGTTTTCTTGGCGAATTGACACTTTAAGTGAAGCATATTTATCTGGATACTTGGATTCATGAAAAAATAGCATCAGGAAACTCAACTATGAGCATATTCTGCAGCTCCTCAGGTTTTGTGTTTGGATGCAACCTAGTTACAACTTCCTCATTTTGCCTTAAAACAAATCGGCGCTGTCTACGGTGTCTTACACTTTGCCACCCCAT